GGCATGAAGATATTGAATTGTGTTGCATTATCATTGTACAAAATTGTGGAGTCCAAGCAATTTTTTCCAAACACTTGTAATAAGTTAGTGAAGTTTTTGTTTTACATGTGTGAAGAAATAATAGTGGTACGCAGCTCACTGAGCATCAGTTTGATGAGTTGGATGACCAGTTTCATTTAATACTGGTAAATTGATTGCCATGGTTGTCCTGGTGGCCTAGAGGTCCTCGATGCTAATCATGTCAAGTCAATTAAATTTTTAAATTTACAGCCTGAAATCACAAATTTGCCTCAAAGATTTTTACATTCTCCACAATTTACAAAACCTGCTATCCTTAGACGCGTGTTTCGGAAAAGCCATATAATAACAACAAAACTGGTTCAAGTCCCCCCCCCCCACCCCATTTCCGCTCACATCTCCACTATCTACTATTTATCTACTGTTAAATTTATCTACTTTAAACAGAATGAAAAACTCATCCGTTGTTTAAGATATGCACTGTAGGTGAGTAATTATTTTTTAACCTGTCAATGCACCAGTTGCTTGTTTTGTCTTCATCTTCAGGCCTTAAGCTAAGGAAGAGCTTAGAATTAGAAGAAAGGAAAATAAAGCTTCAGGAAGACCTGTCAAATAAAACTGTAAAGGATTACATAAATTTACATACTACAACAGTATTGCAAATCTCTGTGATGCAACCCATTGCATTTACATTTTAACATGTTACTTCCTCAACTTTGTACCCAGTAAGTATCAGTCAACTTTACTGGTATCATGGTGTGAATGAGTGTTTTAATAGGAATGTAAATAGTGTGTGAGTGCAGCACAGCCCACTGATTATCCCAACCAAACATTCCACCACTTCAAAGCTTCAGCTGTAATTACAATGCTCTGAGGTGTGCCCGACCCACACAACCAGAGGCTTCTCCAGCTCTGTCACACACACACACACACACACACACACACACACACACACAGACACACTGTACAGACATCCACACAGTACACAAACATGCTCAGACAAATTGCTTTCGCTATTATCAGGCTTAAATGATATTATGGAAAAAAGGAAGTGGGATGTGTGGGTAATTTTGCTACACCCAGGAGAGCACCCCTCTCATTTCTACCCCTCCACTTCCTTCCTTCCTTTATTCCTCCTTCGTCTTTTCTTGCCGAATTCCCTTTGGATTCACGATCACACAAAGCTGTGGTTGCATTATTTGCATTTGCTTAAAATATATTTAACATACATGTAATTTCTACACAGTATTTCATTTATACCAATTCCCATGCATTCACATGTTCAAAGTGCACCTAAGACAGTATTACCTAACGTTTGGTATTACTTATGTTGGGCCTGACATTGTATAGGGATGTGTTGTCAGAGCAGGCTGTAGCTTGTAATGGTGCCAGATGAGTTATGTTTTCCAAATAAGACAATTAAATGAGTGCGAGCAGTTCCTGTAATTAGAATATCTGCGACTGCTAGCTTTACTTTCACAACAGGGTTATAAGATCAATTGGCGCACATGCCAAATATTTTTTTCATTTTCTTCCTTATTAGTCCTAACTTTAATGAGCACACTGCCTCAGCCTTTTTTGTCATTTAGGAGATTTCTTGTATGATAGATGGACCTGCAGATGGATTTTAAAATAATCTCAAGAAAGGGAGCAGAGTAAAGACAGAATGAAGAGGAAAGGATGTAGGAAACGAAGAAAGGAAGGAAGATAAACATGGGAGGAGGACAGTAAAAAAGAATGGATGAGGAAAGAGACAAATTAAAAAAGGAAAGTCATGTGGAGATAAAGACAGAAAGAAAGAAAAAAGGAAGGAAGGAGGGAATAAAATGTAATAGATAAAGATACATGATGTAACTAAATATGGCAAGCATAAAAGGGTGCAAGAAAGAAGACAGGAGGGAGGAAAGGAACCATGCCACTGACTCTCAGCCAGAACGAGTTCTGTGAATAATGACTGACAAGGTGCCTGCAGGGCGTGCGGGCACAGCCAAAGAGAGAGAGAGAGAGGTGGAGGGGGGTGGAGGAGGATTGAGGTGGGGATCCTGAACAGAGCTGCAGAAAAAAGAAAAAAAAAACGGCAACAGTTTCTCCCCTGAGGAGTCAGTCCTTTCATCTGGCCGCTCACTGGCGCCTTCACAAACCTCTGATTGTCTGTGAAATAACCCCACTTTAATAAGGCAGCAGTGGCAGGCTCCTGGGAACTGAGCTCCGCTCCAGTCTGACACAGACAAGCTACTCAGGCCTGCTGGCTACATGTAAAAATACATAAAGAAATGGAGTATTTATTTACTGTGCATAAATCTATCCTCGGGGACGTATGCGGCGTGTCCTCTTAAATGAGTGGCTGTATTGAAGTAAGTAGTAAAAACTTGGCACACAAAAGTGAATGTCTGTATTTCTCTCAGACATTCTTAAGAGAGACCTTTCCTTTTGTCCATCTGTGAGCTTTAAAAAAACAACTTAATCTTGTGAGAGTGGGAGGCTGTAATAGTTCTGCAGTGCTGTAAGCTGTGTATGAAGGACACACACACACACACTTATACTCCTTACCGTGTAGACATTAGCAGATTATGCTGCTATAGTGTGGATCAGGCCTTATTACAGGTGCTGGTCATATAATTAGAATATCATCAAAAAGTTGATTTATTTCAGTAATTCCATTCAAAAAGTAAAACTTGTATAATGTATACATTCATTCCACACAGACTGATATATTTCAAGTGTTCATTCCTTTTAATTTTGATGATTATAACTGACAACTAATGAAAACCCCAAATTCAGTACCTCAGAAAATTAGAATATTGTGAAAAGGTTCAATATTGAAGACACCTGGTGCCACACTTTAATCAGCTAATTAACTCAAAACACCTGCAAAGGCCTTTAAATGGTCTCTCAGTCTAGTTCTGTAGGCTACACAATCATGAGGAAGACTGCTGACTTGACAGCTGTCCAAAAGACGACCATTGACACCTTGCACAAGGAGGGCAAGACACAAAAGGTCATTGCTAAAGAGGCTGGCTGTTCACAGAGCTGCAGATTTCATTTTCCAACAGGACTTGGCACCTGCACACAGTGCCAAAGCTACCAGTACCTGGTTTAAGGACCATGGTGTCCCTGTTCTTAATTGGCCAGCAAACTCGGCTGACCTTAACCCTATAGAAAATCTATGGGGTATTGTGAGGAGGAAGATGCAATACGCCAGACCCAACAATGCAGAAGAGCTGAAGGCCACTATCAGAGCGACCTGGGCTCTCATAACACCTGAGCAGTGCCACAGACTGATCGACTCCATGCCACGCCGCATTGCTGCAGTAATTCAGGCAAAAAGAGCCCCAACTAAGTATTGAGTGATGTACATGTTCATACTTTTCAGTTGGCCAACATTTCTAAAAAAACTTTTTTTCTATTGGTCTTAAGTAATATTCTAATTTTTAGAGATACTGAATTTGGGATTTTAATTAGTTGTCAGTTTTAATCATCACAATTAAATGAAATAAACATTTGAAATATATCAGTCTGTGTGGAATGAATGTATACATTATACAAGTTTCACTTTTTGAATGGAATTACTGGAATAAATCAACTTTTTGATGATATTCTAATTATATGACCAGCACCTATATATTAAGTATTAGCAATGTCCTGGGTGTTAAATATCATATATGTCCCTTATCATCATATATGTCATTAGGCGACAGACGAGAAAGTAATTAAATAAGTACGACCATGGGAAAAAACTTAAGATAAGTGAAACATCCTTTCAGCTTAATAATATTTCAACCATCATCAAAGGACTGTTTCTTCTGATAAAATGTTGGAACAAGTGTAAAGTTCTCCATCAAGAGTTGGGCACTTTTATCTGAGGGGAACTTGTCCATGGAAAAATCACAATAAGTTACTTTATGAGGATCACACGGAGTTACTTCATGTCTGATGTGCGCAGAGAGCGATAATGAATCATAGGACAAGAAGATGAATGAGTCGGCTATTCAGACATGGGGATGTCTCGTCAAGTTTGTGTCCAGTCGTGCCTTCAGACACAAGCTGGACCGCGCCAAGCATTTTAAAGACTAAATCTATAATTTAGTGAAGTGATTTACTCTGTAATTTCAGTGTGACAGTCGTCTTTAAATTCTGGACTGACATGGCACACATAACAGCATTGTGACTTACAATGGAAAGTCCCAATAAAGGGAACAGCAAACAAATCAGAGAGAGAGAAAGAAGAAAAGGGATCAGTGTTTCATCCTGGGGATAATTCTCCATAATTATCTGCATGGGGTCCATGTTTACACATGCAGTCTCATGAGGTTAGAGTTAAAGCTAATCCATTACTGAAGCATAACATGTGGCACATCTATTATTTTTTGCAGACAGTTTTCCTTAATTCACCTATTAAACCAAAGAGGCACCTGTGTTGTCAAACACAAACAACAAAACAAAGTTGTTTGAACAAAGTGAAGCTATCTGTGAAGCTTTGACACCGAACTGAAAAGTTTTACTTTATTGTGATACTAAACCGATCAGCTGAAACACATAGGAGAAGAGAAACCTCTGGTCAAAATAGACATTATCATATCATGTTGAGCTGGTTTGCAACGAATTAAATAAAGATGAATTTAAACATTTTTTGAATATTATTTTATTTTCACCTGCATGTGGAGTGACGACCATTAGCTGCTTTCAAGTACTCCATGTAACCTTCTGAAGATAACCTTGAAGAAGTGGTTTGCTCACCTATGAATAGTAATGAAAATAACGAAAATAACAAAAAATAAATAAATACATAAATAATGTGCTAATAGTGGCCTAAATGTCTTACGAACTATTGCGCTGTATTCCTCAAAAAAACACAAGTACGTTCAATTACCAAATGTCCCTGAAGGTAGCATTGGCTCACTCACAAACACTGTGGGCAGCAGTGATTGGTCAAAGTTGAGCAGTGTCAACGTGATGCGTCTACATACTCCCACGTACTTGACAGCACCATAACATTGCGCTCAGCGGATCGGCTCTCACCTGGCTTCTCTGTGACTGTCTCGCTTGGAGTTCACTTGTTTTTCGGATGAGAGCTGAAGGAGAGATGGCTTCTCGGGTGACTTTTAGCGACTTGGGGTGCAGTTCTTCCGAGGAGGACAGTAACCGTGCGGACTTAGCAGAGGGGACCGCGGAGGAGAAGACATCTCCGGTGGTGCGTCGGCATCATCCGTTCAGCGTGGAGGCGCTCATGGCCGGGAGGAAGAAGGACGGCCGCTGCGAGTCCACCGGCGGTAAACCGGAGGGAGGTTCGCTGGCGGTGTCTCCTATTGGTTTAAACTCTCTGTATTTGTGTCGAGAGACGTGCAACCTTCCCGGGGGAAGCCTAACGGCTGCGCCCTTGTCGCCGGTAAAATCCGAGGCATCAGAGTCAGACGACTGCGCACCCTGGGTCACCAGCAGCGCGTTTTCCACACAACCTCGTAAGTTTCTCCTACACGATGAAGCATTTTGAAACTTGTATTATTTTATAGACTTTTTAATAATTATTATCCTGTCTACAATATCAAAGTTACTTTTAAGTTTAAACAGTAGCCAACACTTTGTACAAAGAGGAAAAAATTAAAAAAATTATTTTCTTACTGGTAGCCTATATCTCTATAAGCTGTGCTGCAAGGATGGACAGAGTTGTTTAAACAGTCATAAAGCCAGGCTGGGCAAAGTGAACCAATTAGCCTACTCTAAATCACTCAGATACTTATTTTGTTTTGTGTGGGGAAGTAGGCCTACTAATAACAAATCAGAATCATGTGCCATTTTCATAAAATGTGGGCTATTAGATAAAAGTGCCTGATATCCACCTTACAACTTTAAGTTACATTCATTTAGCCAGTTTTGTTAAATAGCCAACTGATCAGTATAAGGAGGACATTCAAAACCATAATAAATCAATAGAATCCTAGGAAAGTCCACTTAATGAATCCTTATACTTAATCCTCATTCTTAAATCTTTATTGTTCCTTCTCCCAGATCATGTCAGTCCTTCCTGTCCTTTGAGGAAACATAAGACAAACCGAAAGCCCCGGACTCCCTTCACCACGTCTCAGCTCCTGGCCCTGGAGAGGAAGTTCAGGCAGAAGCAGTACCTGTCCATCGCCGAGCGGGCCGAGTTCTCCTCCTCCTTGACCCTAACAGAGACCCAGGTGAAGATCTGGTTCCAGAATCGCCGGGCAAAAGCCAAGAGGCTCCAAGAAGCAGAGCTGGAGAAACTTAAGATGGCTGCAGACGCCAAGACGGTGGCAGTGACGGCCGCTGCCGCCGGAGGTTTACACCCTGGCTTTACATTACCACTGTCTCTGGGCGCCATGTCACTGTACGGACAATCGTACTCTGCCTATCACCACCACCACAGACCCGTACTACCCATCTCACCTTTAGGACTGTACGCTGCTCCTTTGGGCTACAGCATGTACCACTTATCATAAAAATGGAAATATCATTGACTTTGGTGAAATGTGTTTCAATACCTTTCCAAGGAATCCCAAAAATGGACACAGAGGACGTGTGGCAGACATTTTAAAAACAATGATTATAATTTACTGCACAAGGGTTGTTTGAATCAATTCTGAGCACTTCATGTCAAATTAAAAATCTATTTTTTCCCACAGCGAGGATAAAAAAAAAACTACTTAGATGTCCTCTGGGCCCTTTGGACTGCCTGTTTACATGACTTGTCTGTACGAGATGGGGCGTTACTGTCCAGCTGTTTATACCCTTCTCTTGTTTACTTTTGCAAATAATTGAGATGGGCGAGGACTTGCACTGGGCACAATAATGCAAAGTACAACTTTTCACTTAAGCCTTCAGCTTCATGCGATACAGTGCCTTGTGTTGGGCCTTAATATCAAGACACTTTGTACATGTGTATAGATGATGAGTGTTTCAGCAACTCAGGCCAAATAAAACATATCACTAAAGCATTCCTTTAATTTCCATTCTACAAAAGTGTCTGCCTTGAAAAACTTCTCCTTTTTTGAATTTCAAAACAGACACATTGATGTTTGTGTGCTTTCCAAGACCATAAGGTTAAACCCTCAAGTTATTCATTGTTCGTCACAATGAAAACTTTTACACAATTGAAATTTAAACTTTTTTTCATCTTTTATCTTGTGTAGCAATAACAAACATTTTCATCACTTACTCGTTTCTTCACCACACATTTATAGAGTGGAGACGTATTTATTTTCTTTGAAATATAACTATGCTGGAAATGTATGAATGTATGTCACACGTGTATTTATGATGAGGTTGTGAGAATATGGTACTAAAGTTCTGACCAAAGGTATATTTATGTTGTTCTTCCTGAATGTACCTTTGAAGAGGCCTACATTTTGGTATGTATGTATGTATGTATGTATGTATGTATATATGTATATGTATATATATATTATATATATATATATATATATTCCACCATTTGTTTAATCATTCAAATGAACCAACCACTTGAAGCCTTTCAGACTGTTTCCTTTAAAGAAATTACAAAAATATACAATTTTATGTGTAAAAATAAAGTAGCAATATGTAAATATGCCGAGCTACGTTCACTTAAGATCGTTTTTTAAAAAGTGATATTTTAAGTAATTTACCAGTGAAACCAGCTTCTTTTTGTGCATCTGTGTACGTTTGTGCGGTTTAATCCTGTGTCTATGCTTCCCATCAGAAAGTGGTCAGTTCAAGGCAAAGTTTGACAAACCATAAATGCTTCCCATAAAATATCCAACTTCACAGATAGTTCCCGTTATTACTGAGCTGTCATTTACCAAACTGGTCAAACTTTCTTTTTTTCTTTTAAGCAGGGATATTTTTTAATAATGATGCCGTGTTTGTAAAGACCAATCCGTTGTGTTGTCTCTCTGGCACTAATTATCTCTGTATTTATGACCACCACTTGGGTTATTCAAGTAGCGTGAGAACTCACAACAACATAATATGGGATAAACAACCTGAAATTAGTCTAGAATTTTTACCTTTTGTCAAATCTTTATATTACTAAATCTCACCAGCAACTAGCAGCAACATATACTTATTTAACTGGAAATAATCCAAAACAATTGTTGTGGCAGAGGTGTTGATTGGCAAAATGTTCATATATTTAAAATGAGCTTACTTACACACCAACAGCTTAGTTTGTCAGGAGTAAATTCACTCATTTGCTACTGCTCTTCTCCCCAACCGAATAATGTTCTTCCTGCTTCATTAAACTTAATATTAATGACAACTGTTGACAAAGGTTTGAATTAGCCAAATTCTACCAGACCTCTCCATCTTAGCACCAATTTTTACAGAGCCGCAGGGTGGTGGCGTGTGCAGCTTCTAAAAGGTGCCTGTGCTTTGTTGCAATTATGAGAGCAGCTTACTACTTCCGTGTGACTTTGATGTAAGGAGGAAATCGTTTATATGCACCAGCGTATTTATGAGGTTCCCCTTTAATCAGAACAAGGCGGGGAGGCCAGTCAGAGGGAACTGGCAGACAAAGTGAGTAGCTTACATGGGCAAGCAATCAGCGTAATGAAGTGCAGATTGGCAGGAGTGGCTCTGAGTCTATTGTTAAGCATCACGTTTGTGCTACTTACTGGAGGGGTGTTATATTTCATTGGCGGAGAATTCAATAAAGTCTCTGTCTTTTCATTTGTAGGGTTGTCACTGGCACTGGGGATCTGTTTTTGTCATTGTTAATAGCTGTTCATCTGACAGTGATTAGGCATGTTTGTGGTTTTGTATGTTACTTAAACACAACATGTGACTGAGCCCTTCCCTGTCTGTCAGTCATGTGCTTCTCTCCTACCTCCTCTAGTGGCAGTTTGTAATATAGCATCATGGGAACGACCTTATGTCTCGCTCTGTCCCCTCGTTCTGTGAAGTACCATGTGAGTATAATTGGTTTGAGTGTTCAGGCTAATAACGCACACAGGGAAACAAAACACAAACTGATGAGTTAATGAAAGGCCCTCTTTCAACTGTGAAAGAGGAGTTGTTCATTGCGGAAAAAATATTTGTAATGTGCTCAATGTATACTCAAATGCAGGCAGCAATAGGCATAAGAAACAAAAAAAGGCTTATAGATAGGTCACATGTAGACATTTGTAATATATTTATATATAGTTCTTCATAGGAGTCAATGTTTTGTGTTTTTCTGCCTGGTTGGGGGTTGAATTCACTTGTGACTTCTACTCACCTACTGTCTGGCCATAGATATGCAATTGCATTTATTAGTAGGCTACCTCTGGATGTTTATGTGCTTCATATGTATATATCAATAGTGTAGCATCCCATTATTAGCATTTATGGCTGTTTAGCTTGCCCCTGAGGTCAGCAACCACTGGCATGTGGTGGCTTAACAAACGGCCCACTAGCAGAGAGTTTTCTGGAAAGTACCCTCACATCAGCATGCCAAATGACTTCTTTCACAGCCTTTGGCAGTTTCGCAGCCTGTTATTTACGGTTTGATTTTTTACACTGCACTGTTGCTTCCAGTTCTGCCTCTCATTGGCTGGTATTCATTGCCTTCTCCACAGATTGTGAATGTTGAAAAAAATAACGCTGCTGGAGCTCCTATAGCAGGCCCGCTAGCTAAGAATGCTAAAGTAAAGGTTCGGGTAGTCCAGCCCTTGTGGACAAATGAGTGGGGTTTTGTGTTTCAGACGAACCGTGCTGTGTGTACTTTATGTCTTGAAAATGCTGTTTGCTGAACATTGAGTGCTGAACACCATTTTGAGACCAAACACGAGAAAACTTTCAAGGATGAGGCAAACAAGGCTGAATCGATCAAACGTGCCGTGTCCAGGAATATGAAGCGAGCACACACGCTCAAAGTCTTTGCCACTGCTAAAAATCATGCTACCCAAGCAAGCTATTGCATTGCTCATTGCAAAAAAAGATATTCCCATGTCAGCTAGTGTGCATCAAAGAAATGGCAGAAAACATTAGAGCACTGGTTTGAAAGAAGCCGTGGTATTTATCATCACACTTGATGAGAGCGTGGATGTGAATGACATAACACTTTTGGCAGTCATAGCAAAGACACTGTGATTAACCAAAGTGTGTGAGCCCTGCTGCTTAAAACCAATACCTGAAACAAAAAAAGATCAGGACATAGCCAAAGTTTTTACGGAGCATTTTGAGGAGCGATGTATTGAAATTAGCACAATTGCAATGACAACATGAAGGCCATCCTGGCTCAAAAAGGCCAAGACTATCCAGAATTCGAGGACAAGAAGTGGGGTTGTGAAACTTAGGTTTCACAGATATTACTGGACGACTCGGCAAGCTCAATCTTCATCTGTAATCAAAGTACAGGGCATGGAGATGTACGACACAAGTTTGGCTTTGGTTTAAAGCAGTGTTGCTACCTCCACTTTCTACTACTTCCAACACTTAAGGGAGCTATCCACACTGCATCAGTACCGCTAAAATATGCAAATACATCAGCAGGCTTGAGTTGGAGTTCACAACACGATTTTGGAATTTCAGAAGTATGGACCCATGTTCTCCTTCTTGATCACATCTGATAGCTTTTATGGACATAAACTGGATTCATTTCTGACAGACTGGCTGGCTGGTAACACAGGACATGGTTACCAACATGAATGACTAATCATTAATGCAGCACACCTGGACACACCACCGGTCACTGAACATAACTCCATCTGCTGGCATGTAAAGCCGTCTGCTCCCAGCGCTGTTCCAAAGACTTCTATTCCTGTCATCATCACGCATAGACCAGTAAACCGAAATGTGCACATCCCACAGAGAAATAATAGTAATCTCTTAAGGATTAGGACAACTGCACCAACTCCAGCACCCAGAACAAACTCATTTAAAATGGCTCTCTTCAATATGAGATCACTGTCAAGTAAGACTTTTATCTTAAATGATTTTATCTTGTCTGCAAATCTAGATTTTATGTTTTTAACTGAATCCTGGTTGCAAATGAATGACTATAGCCAGCTAGCTGAACTGTGTCCGCCTCAATATGATTGTTTTAGTCAACCGAGGGTCAGTGGTCATGGTGGTGGGCTAGTGAGCGTGTATAGGAAAAATTTTAAATGTCATCAAGTACGCTGTGATGAATTTAACTCCTTTGAAGTTCTTACTCTTAAAGTTGGAGGGCTGCAACCTATCATATTTGTTATAATTTATCGCCCCCCAAAACTGCCTGGAGGATTTTTATCAGAACTTCCTGAATATTTATCTACTCTGGTTTTAAATTATGACAGAATTGTTCTTTGTGGCGATTTTATTATTCATGTTGATGACCCCACCAATGTTAATGCAACTGACTTTTTAAATATGGCCACTTCTTTTAACTTCAAACAACATGTCAAAGGGCAAACACATAACCCTGGTCATACACTGGACTTGGTTTTTACCCTGGGTGTCAGCATTTCCTCTGTGGAATTAGTGGACATGACCATATCTGACCACAGATGTATTGTTTTTAGCTGCGATTGGCCTGTTACTCATGCCGCCTCACCAAGCTCCGTGTGTTCTCGCATCTTTAATGAACAAAGTGTTTCAAAGTTTTGCGCATTCTTTCAGAGCCAAAGCCAACACCTGTCTGATTCCAACACCAACAATATGGTCGATCACTTCAATCATATCTGCTTGTCGTCACTATATATTACTGCTCCTCTAAAGGTTAGGCCTACGTCTAAAGCTAGTAAGCAACCCTGGATAAATGACAGCATTCGCAGCCTAAAAAGGGAATGCAGGAAAGCAGAGCGCAGATGGAAAAAATCCAGTCTCCAAGTCCATTACCTCAGTCTGAAGGATTTATTAATTAACTACAATAACATGGTTAAGGATGCGAGAACACACTATTTTTCTGAACTCATTACTACACATAAACACAATCCCAGGTTTCTGTTTAAGACTGTGGATCAACTGGTAAACCCAACCCCTCCCTGTGCCTCAGTTG